CCAATTCTAAGCCCCTAAACCCTAAACCCTTAAACCCCTAAATCCCTAAACCCTAAACCCTAAACCCTAAACCCCGTCCCTTCTTTGAGAGCTCGGCTTCTGTGCTGCCTGAGCCTGCTTTGGCTTCAGGCTTTGCGCACGAAGGATAGCATATCGCCGCCCAGAAAACCCACCGAAATGGGACTTTCCGAAAAGAAGGGGTACCTTATTTTGGGTCCTTATAATAAGGATCCTACTATTTAGGGTACTATCATATTGGGGTCCACTATTTTGGGAAACCCACAAATGACGGTTTAGGGTTTAGGGTCTTGAGGGTTTTGGGTTTAGGGATAGTGGCAATGTGGCGAAGTGTCTGGGGGAATGTGTGCAAAAAGTAACAAGAAACCCTCGTGCCAGAAATGTGAGTAGCCTAGACCCTAAACCCGAAACCCCCTACAGCTGGCCTGGGCTCGGGTCCTCCTTTAGGGCAGAACCCAGGTCGTACTGTTGATGATGCAAGTCCTGCATTAATTACCTTAAGGACCCTAAACTATGGGAATTCTGGTATAGTCTCTTATTCTGGGGTAATGCAGGATTTATAGAATCCAGGTCGCAGGTGGAGGTTAGGTTTAGGTTTAGGGTTTAGTGCTCCCGAAAGCCCCCTCCATAACGTTGTATTTGCCACTGCCTTCAAGGATAGGATTGCATTTCAGGGTCGTAGACGGTGGCATGCCCTTGCCGTACTGGATTGACCAGGACTCATTTCCCTGGTCTTCTTAACCACACCGCCCCTAAGAAACCTAACGGATATATATACTAGTGAAGTAGGCATGCAATGCAGAAGCCTTCTGAGTTGGAACCATAGCGCACGCAGACCAAGGTGCGGCGCGAAAGGCCTTCCTCAAAGAAGCCTCGAACCCTAAAGACACCGCTTAGCAGCAAGGTCCCAAACAGCCCAAGGCCCTGAATAAAGGAATCTACCTTAGAATAAAATTGTCAAGCTCCATATAGTGTAATTAAATGTAGGCACGTACTTTCCAGCAAAATATTCAACCCTATATAGTTGAAGGTAAATTCAGGGTAGGGAGTTCTAAACCCTAAATCCTAAACCCTAAACCCTAAACCCCAAACACGACTCTCTATCTAGGGCCCGACGCCCTTTGGCTTATGCAAGCTGTTGAGGCCCGAAAAGGCCGCAGAGTGGCCAGCAGAATCACGGCAGGTGGGTTTTGTGAGGTTTAGGGCGTAGGCTTTGGGTTTTGTGGAGTTACGGGTTTTCAGGAGTCTTAGGGTTTAGGGTGTTGGCTTTGGGTTTAGGGTTTAGGGTTTAGGGTTTAGGGTTCAGGGGCTTTGGGTAGTTGGGTAGTTCTGTGGAGTTTGGGGATTTGGGGATAGCTACTGACCCTGGCCTCAGATAATCCCTCTCAACATGGGTTTGAGTTCAGCATCTTCAGGCGTAATGTCGAGCTCTGGGTAACCAGTGATTGCATCGCTGATCCTGTATATTGCCTCGTGACGTATACTCCAGCAAGGCCCAAAACCCGCTTACGTTTCTTCAGTTTGCAGCGAAGCTAGGACCTCAGCATCTCAACTTTTGGGGCGTTCCTATTAATGGCTCTCCGCCGTATCGTGGAAAACACGTTAAACCAGAAGTTAGACCTTATGCCAAACCCTCATCCTAAAGCCCTATATCCAACCAGACCCTAAACTCCTGAACCCGAACCCCTAAACCTCTAAACCCTGAACCCCTTAACCCCTAGACCCTAAACCCTACACCCCTTAAACCCCTAAACCCCTAAACCCTAAACCCCCAAAACCCCAAAACCCCTAAACCGTAAACCCCTAAACCCCTCAACCCTAAACCCCTAAAGCCTAAACCGTAAACTGAGCATAAACCTCTAGACAATCGGAGGCCTCAAAAGGTGGGATGAAGGTAGGTAGGATTCAGGATCCCTTATATAAGGACTCTTATTTGGCAATATCCCACCTATCTTCATCCCACCTTTTGATTCCTAAAACCCTAAACCCAAAACCCCCTAAACCCTAAACCCTAAACCCCTAAACCGTAAACTGAGCATAACCCGGCAAAACTCCGGACCCAAACCCTATACAATTTCTATAAACCCTAAACCCTAAACCCTTAGACAAACTTTGTGAGGCGAGGCAGCGCAAATGGGGAAGGCAGCCAAAGGAGCAGCCTCCAGAGCTCTTCAAAGGCATCGAAGGCTTCCTGGGTTTAGGGTTTAGGGTTTAAGGTTTAGGGTTTAGGGTTTAGGGTTTAGGGTGTAGGGTTTAAGGTTTGGGGTTCAGGGTTTAGGGTTTAAGGTTTAGGGTTTAGGGTTTAGGGTGTAGGGTTTAAGGTTTGGGGTTGAGGGTTTAGGGTTTAAGGTTTAGGGTTTAGGGTTTAGGGGTTTAGGATTTAAGGTTTAGGGTATCGGGTTTTGCATTTTCTGCCTTTTGTTTTTGGATTTTCACAGGTTTCTTATCGGTTGTCATCGGTTATGTATGTGTGTTTCATAGCCAGAACAGGAGATTCTCTGATTTTCGAAGCTTCGCTTCAGGTTGTTGTTCTAGTTCTGCGGCCTTAACTGCCTTTGATCATAAGTGCCTTTGATCATTGGCCTTACCAGCTATAATAGGGTTTGGGTATGCATTCTGGTGTAAATATAGCGGTGGAAATGAGCACTGACTGTTCAAATCAAGATTGAATCGCGGGTTGTCCTACCGGCCTCCTAATCGCAGATCGGTCAGGGCAGGTATTCAGAACAACTGAACGTTACGAATGCTCTTGGAGACTGCCGAATCCGTCCATGACATGATGGAATATACTTTAAAGTCATGCCCCCTACGGTTGATGGACAAAATCCTGCATGACCTTAAGGACCCTAAACTATGGGAATTATGGTATATTCCTTATAGTGGGTAATGCAGGATTTTGTCCATCCACCGTATGACTCAAGGTATATCTTAGATCTTCCTTAAGTGAAGGGGTCTCAATCGGAGTTTATGGCTCCCGTCCAGCACTGCTCTCTGATCGCAGCACGTGAGCGGGGCTTTAGGGCTTAGGGTTTCAGGGTTTAGGGTTGTTGTTTTAGGGTTTAGGCTTTAGGGTTTAGGGTTTTAGGGTTTAGGGTTCAGGGTTTAGGGTTTAGGCTTTATAGTTTAGGGATTAGGGTCTAGGGTTTATGCTGTCGTGAGCTTCAGGGAGGGTTTGGGGCGAAGGTTTAGGTTTTCAGAACCCTAAACCCTAATCCTCAAGGTTTAGAGTGTGTAATATAGGGGCCTTAATATATGGGTGGTTGTCAAAATTATGGTCCCTTTTTGGGTCCTTATTATAATACGGCACCTATTATTTAGGGTACCCCAAAAGGGACCATAATTTTGACAACTACCCATATAATGCTCTATACTGTTTTGGGGGGTCCTTATTTTAGCTATATTATAGTCATTAGGACTCTCAGGCTTGTGTTGCGCGGTCCAGAAATTTTAGAAGAATCCGTGAGACTTAAACCTGTGACCTTGCAACTCTTGTAGAGTTGGGTCAGGCTCATGTACTAGACCCTCAGCCTTAGTCGATGCGACATCAGGACAGGGCAGAGTCAACTTTTGAAATCGCCCGATTGCCTCAGGTCCTCCAAAGAAATCTTTGGGGTCTGGGGTTCAGGGTCTAAGCTCATGTCCTGCTTGTTATGCTTACCACCCGGAGCGATTGCTGAAAGGAATCTTTCCTTCCATTGCCTTTGACATCAAGGCCCCCAAATTTCCCTAAACCCCGCACCGGGTTCAAATAGCAGTTTTGTGCCAATGTCGCAGACCCTAAACCCCTAAAGCCTATAAATCCTAAACCTGAAAGGAAGCATCCGGAGCACCTGTCGCAAGCAATCCCGGCGCAGAGCGCGGCTTCACCCCGCCAGTCCCAGGCCAGTGGGTCTTGCAGTAAGGGTCCTAAGTACCCTCGGGTCCATTCTAGGGTTTCCTTTCAAAGGGTTCTATAAGGTAACTACTATGGTTTAGGGTTTCCTTCAAAGGGATCTATAAGGTTACTACAGGGTTTAGGGTTTAAGGGTCCCTGTAGAGTATAGGTACTTTGGGCCAATGTACGTACTACATGGGCCCTGAGCGGTGGGGATTCAGGATGCGTTAGATAATGGGTTTAGAGTTTATGGTTTAGTTGTTCTCAGGGTTCAGGGTTTGGGGTTTAGGGTTTGATTAGAGATGATGGTGTTCTGTTGCTGGGGGGTGGGGGGGTTTGGATTCGGTGTTATTTTGGCGAGCACGCTTAATATTCGCGGCTATTGGTAGACGAGTTGTACCTGGAAAACCTACGCTTCGTTAGCCTATGACCCATCAACACAGAGGCTGTAGGCTATAGGCTATGCTATAACCCCCACCCAAAAAAGTTGTGGGTGCTGCAGGGTCCAGCTACATCCTAAAGACCTAGATCTTGATTCTTTGAGTGATCACCAGCTCCTCCTCAGCTCCTCCTATGTTGAGGCACCATGGCTAGTAGTAGGGTTTCTGAGAAGACGGGTTCTGGCTTGTCAAGTTTCTTCACAAGGGTTAGGTTGGGTGTGACTTGCGGATCAATGGACTTAGTAAGTACACTATTCCAATCGTGGGCCCGCTTGCCATCTACATAGTCGTGAGTCCCCCGAGGTCTTGGCGTCTAAGTACTTGGGGGTGTCGTTTCTGCTGGTTCAGGGAGGCGAGAACTCCGGTTCAGGTTCTGTGGGTGCACCGGTGTGGCATCGTTGACGGAACTATAGTGCTTTTATCCTGGAGGTGGTGCTAGCCCAGCCTGTGCCGATGCCCATGTTTGCGGTCCTCGAAACATATCGAGTGGCGTAAGACTTTCCATTGTTTTGGGTTCGGCTTCAGGCCAGTCTAAGGTTCAGGTTAAACAATGTCTAGTGTCGGTGGTGCATTGACAGGCCACAGCCGCTTCTCTCCAGTCAGGTACTTTTAATACTCATTCCTATTTGGTGGTCACAGGATCGGCCACTTTCGCCCCATGACCACAGCCATCTTGGCTCAAGGGTGAAATCTTCTGGTGGACAGAGAGAGCCGGTCCCACGCACGACATGCCGAGTTTCCGCTTCGTCACGGGGATGCTGCTGTGTTGGACCAGCACCTGCGCCTGTCTTAGCAACGGGTTGGTTATCGTAAACATAAAGAAGCCCTAGACAGCGCAGGCTTTAGCCATTTCTTGCTCTACAACTCAGGTCTTCAACGAAGGAGAAGATTTGATAATCTTGAAACTCAGCCGATTGTGGCATGAAACTAAGGTGCTGCCGGCCCGTTGAGCAATCTTCTGTCTGGCATGTCTGAGAATGCGTGCAATGCCACCGGCTCTGGTGACGTGCATGCCGCAGCTACCAGTTTCTCAGCCTTCTTCCCTGACACTTTGTCCCACGAAGCCAGCCATTTCCTGCCGACCATTGCCAGCGAGCAAGTGCACAGCCATTCTGGCACAGAGACTGCACACATCGAGGCCCATCCAGAACCCCGTAAAACCCTGCCTGGAAAGCACAGACCCTTGACAGACAACTGTTAGCACCCTCCAAAACCAACTAAAATATCATAGAGCTTAAATGTGCTTAATCTTTAACATAGAAGCATAACCCCGTTCTAAACCTTTTTACAAAACCCTAAGCCCAATTTCGATGGCCCTGGAAGGAGCAACTTGATGCTGGCTCTTTGCTGCTCAACCGCCGTCCGAGGACCTTCGTCAGCTTCTGCAAGAAATGAAGAGGGGCTTACGGGGTTCGAGTTTCGGGTTAAAGGGGGGTTAGGGGTTAGAGTCGGTTAGAGTCTTAGGGCTTGAGGGGTTTCGGGTTTAGAGCTTTACAGCTGTAGGGTTTTGGATGGTTTAGGGTTTTAGGGTTCGTATTTGGGCTTGTTGGTGAGTGTATATAGGGCTCCTTGCAGACTATTGAGGAAAGCCATAGCAGATATCACAAAGCTTTGGCTGCCGTTGCCAAAGTGCAACGGGAAGCTTCGCATTGTGTTCAACGGCCGAGGTAGCTGGCAGGAGGTGCATATGTGACAGGAATATGAATGCTCTCGCGGCATCATCGAGGCGCGCCACTGGCCAAAAGCAGCTCGAATGTTCATCCAGACGCGGTCTAGGGTTTAGGGTTTAGGCTTTAAGGTTGCACGCGGGATAAACTTATAAGCCCTAAAACCTATGGAAAAGAAGCTACAACCTGCCAGAAGCAGCGGCTGGGCCACCAACGATACAGGTTTAGTAAACATGGGGGGTAAAGACAAAGTAATACGTCTCGGTGTCTCGGTGTGTTGTTTCGACTGTGCCAGAAGATACCGCCCAAACCCTGTTCTGATACTGAAGGCCCATGTATCTAGGACATGTTCAGGTGGGTAGTTACCGTTATAGGAGCCTTATAGAAGGTCTATATACCTTATAGAAACCCTATATACCCCGAACTCTCCACCTGTAGTTTCCTTTAACTGTATTAATTTGAGTATTCAGGAACTCCTGGAAGGGCATACGTAGAGGTTCGGTTTCAACAGGTTGAGGGTTGAGTGCTGGTTCAGGGTCAGCTGCCTAGTGTAGCTTCTGAAATCCGTCCCCAAAGCTGTAAATAAAAAGATGCCCTCTAATATAAACATAAACCGTGTTGGAGACCCCTGATTAATCTGAGGTCTATGATATGGATTCCAACAAGGTGGCCCTTAAAGAAGGTGGAATGTCAGTCGGAGTTACATTCAACCCTGAGCCCTGAATCCTAAACCCGTTGCCCTAAACCCTAACCTTTACTTTAAAGACCTTAACCCTAAACCCTCAACCCTACCCCTAAAATCCTGGCTGGTTCAGGCATCGTGACAGAGGAGCTCGCACCTGGCCTCTCCTCCACCGGCCGCAGTCTCAAGCCAACTAATGCAGGATTAAGTGTTTAGACGGTTTAGGTTTAGGAGTTATAGGGTTCAGGGTTTAGGGTTTAGGGTTCAGGGTTTAGGGTTCAGGGTTCAGGGTTCAGGGTTTAGGGTTCAGGGTTCAGGGTTTAGGGCTTAGTGTTTACGGAGAGTTGAAGGTTTAGTGTCGTCGGCTTTGAGGGCTTCTTTGCTCCGGGCGTCTGGATCTACTGTCTTGTGGCGTTAGGTGCTTGTGGTTTGGGTTTAGAGTCTAGGTTTCAGGGTGTTGGGCTTATGGTCTAGGTTTGGGGGTTTATCCAGTTTCTGGGGCGTGGGCTCTGGCTTGGCTACTATAGAAGCCTCAATGATTACCAATATTACGGTTAGGGCTCCTCATTATACATATACTATACATGAGCCCAAAGCCCTACTGAAATTATTAAGGCCCCCTAAACCCTAAACCCTAAACCCTAAACCCTAAACCCTAAACCCTAAACCCTAAACCCTACAGTTTACCCTAAATCCTGGCCCGGTTCTGGACCGAAGTTGTGGATTGTTGAGGCGCTGTTGCTTTCTATGTCCTGCCCTGAGACCGCACAAGCCTTCCGAAACGGGGTTTACTCTGCATCAGCCATACTACAGTAGGGACCTCAGGTACATTCGTGGTGCGTTTGGGCTCGGGCAGGCTTTCCGAGAGATGCCAGTCCCAAAGAGCCCAACAATTTCCCTTAATTGTGGAATTTACTTCAAAATGCCTACATAAAATACATACATATACATAAAATACATACATATGTGTATATATATATATAGAGAGAGAAAGAGTACATGAACATGTAGGTACATTATAGGCATATACATATATATATATATATATTTATTTATTTATCTATTTTATTTATATATTTTTTTAATGGATTTTACTTCATCATAATACCAACAAAAACCCTGATCAACCTCCTCTGACACTGGTGAAAGCGCCAAAAGTGCACCGTAAATCCTAGACCCTGAACATGACAAGTCCGAGGCATGGTCGTCCTCCGGGGACAGGCTTTTGCGCTGTGGGGATGGCCATGCTCCTGCAGGGGGACTTGGCTTCTTTGTTTTTTACAAACCAGGTCTGTGGGATTTGCAGTGCGCTATCGGGAAACCCTAAACCCTAAACCCTGGCTTTGTAAGGTAGCTCACTCTTGATATAGATCCTCTACCCTAAACCCCTAAACCCCTAAACCCAAAACCCAAAACTCTCAACCCTAAACCTTAAACCCTAAATCCCGAAACCCCTAAACCCCGAAACCCTAAGTACTAAACCCTAAACCCTAAATCCCGAAACCCTAAACCCTAAATGCCTGGCTTTGCAAGGTAGCTCACTCTTGATATAGAATCCTAAACCCCTAAACAGCTAAACCCTAAACCCTTAACCCTAAACCCTAAATCCCGAAACCCTAAACCCTAAATCCCGAAACTCTAAACCCTAAATGGTTGCATGGCCCTCCATGGGGCTGAGGGCTAAGGCTTAGGCCTTTCAGGCTTGAACCATCGAATCAAAGGACTAAAGGAGCGACCCTTAAAGGGATCCTTGGGGGTTTTTTAGGGGCTTTATGAGACTACATACGGTTTAGGGTTTAGGGTTTAGGGTTTAGGGTTTAGGGTTTAGGGTTTAGGGTTTAGGGTTATAGGGTATTAGGATTAGGGGTCCGTTCTAGGGGTTCCTCCTATTATCCCTTAATCGAAAGGGCAGGGGCTTCGAATTTCAGTCCAGGTGGCGGAGAGCTGGTTTTGGGTTGGGGCTTTAGGGTTTCGGGTTTAGGGCTTTGGGTTTAGGGTTTCGGGTTTGGGGTTTAGGGTATCGGGTCTAAGGTTTCGGGTTTCGGGTTTAGTGAGACATGGACGAGCCTTGTAGCCTCGCAGGCTTGCGTTTTGGGGGCTGAGGCTTGCGAAAACTCGGGGTTCAGGCCTCAGGGTTTTCAATAAACCCTAAACCATATAGTGTATTTTCGGTTGGCTGTTTTGGCTCTGCTGGCTCGCGGAGGAGCGTGTTTGGAAGGCCTTTTGCCTTGAAAGACCGCAACCTACTTTAGGGTTTAGGGTGTGTAAGCGGGAACATAATTCGTAGAGAGCCCTATGCGAAAGTAGATCACCGTCCGGTTATGGTGATAGTTGCGACATTGGCGATCGCTTGTCTTCGACAAAGTCCGCGGAGCGTAAGGGATTACATATAGAACTTGCGCTGCTGGTGTTGCGGTACAGACTTCCCCGGACTACTTCGGAATTTAGTATTGATAGAATTGTCGATGTCGCTGTTGTAAGTAGGTTTTGCAATGAGAGTCGCGCACCTGCGTGTTTCTGTGTTTATGTTGTTGTGTGTTTCCGTAGTTCCTCCTTGCATTATGAACTTATGTACTTATCTATGTCGGTAGTGATGTCGTTATCCCTTTCGTTCTGTTTATGTGTCGGTATTTCTTGCGTTCTTTACTTACGTATTTCTCTTTCGCTCGCTCGCTCTCTCTCTCTCTCTCTGCGGATCCCTGCATATTCGTAGGTCGGTGTACGGCTGTATACCGTGTAAATTATACACACATATAGACCTTTATGCATATATATATATATACAACCGCTGTCATGTACGTGCGCATGCAACGACATATTCACTTACTCATATGTACATACATGAATATGTGTGTAGGCATTATATATGTGCATACACACACATACATACTTACTTACATACATGCATGCATACTTACCCTAAACCCTAAACCCTAAACCTAAGTTGTCTCGTTCAATTGCTCTCTGCCCAGGTTTCGAAGGCCCAGACCACAAGGACCCAATGGCCGGTTTAGGGGCCCAGAGGGTCCTAGGTATTATTCTTTGGGCGGTTAGGGTTGAAAGGTTTAGGGTTTAGGGTAGTCTTTGGGCGGTTAGGATTGAAAGGGTTTAGGGTGTAGGGGTTTAGGGTATAGTTTCGGCGGTTGGGGTTTAAGGATGTAGGGTTTATAGGGTATACTTTGGGCGTCTATGGTTTAAGCGCTTAGGGAGTAGAGGTTTAGAGTTTAGGGTTTAGGAGTTAAAGGTCCTAAGTACTGTTATGAGGGACAGTTTCTCAAATCGCAATCATGATTTCGAATACGGAAACCTTACAGGGACTTAGGACCGGTGCTTTGGTTTTTGGTTTGGAGTTTCGGAGTTCAGGGGATATGTGTGGGTTTAGGGATAGGTGTTGAGGCTTCAATTAGGGTGTAGGGGGTGTGTGGGGCTTGGCTTAGGCTTAGGGCTTGGCGCCCTTTTAAAGTTTGGGGTTTCGGTTTGTTTTATACCCCGCTTCCATGCGAAGGGGATTTTGGCATGCTTGCTGCCAGCTCTTTGTTAATACTTACTGTGTCGTCAGCCCCTTGGCTAACCTCTGAACACCTAAGCCTCAACCCCAGCCGATTCCCGGCATGTCTGGATTCCAATACCCTGTTATGATTGCCTGCAACCTCACGCCCTACAAATCGTCAAGCTACGACCGGGTTTTGGATCCCTAACCCTGAACCCTAAACCCCTGAAAGCAATAGGGTTTTGGATCCCAGCATAGTCGCACTTTTGGAGGAGGAAGATCTGCAGCCACCTTTCGAGTTTCTCAGGTCCGGCCGATGTTCGATCATCATCACCATGACGTAGGTTTAGGGCTTAGGGTTTACGATTTGCTGAGCAGAGAAATCAGAAGGCCACCAGTGTGATGTCGATGAAGTGGCTTCTTCAGAAATGGCATCGCGAGTTCATCTCGCGGGGCTCAGCCAAACCACTGACGGAGTCTTGATGTTCTGCCGATTGTGGTAGTGGTTAGTGCTTCAGCTGCCATTCACCCACTTGTAAATAACAGACGGCGCCGCACGACGGCCGGGACCCTGAACCGGACGGAGCTCTGAGATCCTGACCAAGATTGGACGGAGGGGGGGGGGGGGCGGATGCCCTAGCCTCTTTCGGATATAAAGTTTATCAATTGTCGACCTGGTCTGAATATGGATTATGGACCCTCTGAACTGGACGGACACATGTGGAGATGCATTGGCGCCGACTGGTCACCGGTACTAGCCCATGAATAAGGTGCCCTACACCCTGAACCCCTACGCCCGCATCCCGATACAAGCTTTCGGGTTGGGCTTTTGGTCTTTGAGGGCTGGGAACCGAGCTAGAAAACTAAACCATCGCAGGTTTGGGGTCTTGGGTCTAGGTCTCAAATCGTTTAGGAGGGCTTAGGAGGCGTTAGTTTTTTTTTTTTTTTATGGTTTTGGGTTATAGGGTTTAGGGTATAGGGTTTGAGGTGCGGACTCTTGCGCGGGTTGGTTAAGATTTCGGGATTCGGGTTTTCAGGCTGGTGGGTAACACCCTAAACCGTACAACCCTAAAGCCCTAAGCCCTACAACCCTGGACCCTAAACCCGAAAACCCTAAAAACCTAAAACCCTAAAACCCTAAACCTTGAACCCTAAGGTAATTCTTGGGTTGCAGTTTTCGTAGTCAACGCTTGACCGTTTTGAGTCGAGTGAAGAGCACCAAGCCACAAGGAAACCTTATAACGTAGGGGGCTTAATAGTTACAATAGGGTTTTAGGGTTCCTTGAAAGGGCTCCTTGAAAGGGTTCTGTAAGGGCTACTACAAGGGTTTAGGGTGTAGGAGTCTTAATAGTTAGAACAGGGTTTTGGGGTATACTATACTATAAGTATAATAAGGAGCCCCGGAACCCCCAAAATAGTAGAGGTACTTATTTCGGCCCCGATGTTGAGTTTCAAACTTCAAAGCACCTTTAAACCTGGCGGGAAACTCTTATACAAACACGCGCAGAAGCCTGAAGACTGAAACCGGAAAGTCTAACCCTTAAGACCTACGCCCCAAACCCAAAGCTACGCAGCCCGAGCCCTTCAAACCCTACCTTCAACTACCTAAGAACTGCTGTTGTGTAGTGTCTGGCTAGAAACACTAAGTTACATAGCACTTGCAGGGACCCGACCAAAAAATCAGCGAAAAAACGACAGGTTTTTCGGTAGTTCAAGGTAAGCCTTTGCGGCAGGAGCGGCAGCACATCGAGCCGTACGAAATCGATCTCCAAGATGAGAATCCCGGACCCGAGGCAGGTTTAGGGTTCAGAGAATTGCTTTCTGGGGTTGAGAGGTTAGTTTTCGTGTCTTCCTTTGTCAGCCTTAGTTCTATAGAATTTTGGGGACTGTTGAAATCGACACCTAGTAGATGTGTAAGGCCCTTACTAGTACGTTTTGGTTCGACCGTTCCTGTACGGTGGCTTTGTATCCGAAGCACCTGAAAGATTCAAGGATCTTGCAAGGCACCTTTCGGTTTAGGGTTGTAGGGTTTAGGGTGCTGGGTTCAGAGTTTAGGGTTCAAGGTTCAGAGTTTAGGGTTCAGGGTTTAGGGTTTCATTACAGAAGGTTTAGGGTTGTCAACCTTCCAAAGGAGTGGTTTAAGGCCTCCAGTAGGGTTTGCTGCTGGGAAAGCCGGGATCCTCCCAAGTGAGGGCTGCCAGGGTTGTGGTATAAGCCCTGAAGCCTAAACCCTAAACCCCAAACCCTAAACCCCAAACCCCAACCCTAAATGGGGAGGTCTCATAGAATGGTTTTTCATGAAAAACATGTAAACCCCAAACCCTAACCCTAAATGGGGATGTCTCATGGAATGGCTTCCGTATCTAAGCCAGCGAAGTGTCTTTAAAGGAGGAGGCCTGTCCTCTCAGGGTCCATGTGCCCAACTAGTAGATACTTTGGCCTTGAAGTAGTCCCTATGTGGGTTTAGGGTTTGAGGGTTTTGGGGGTTTTAAGGTTTCGGGTTCAGGGTCTCTGGCCTTAAAGTAGTCCCTATTTGGTTACTTTGGGGCCAATGTATATGGGTAGTTTTCTGACATAGGGTCCCTTTTGAGGTCCTTTTTATAAGAGTGCCGTACTATAGTGGGGACCTAAAAAGGGAACCCTAATTTAGAGAACTTCCCATATACTATATGAGTACATGAACCCCTAGGCGTCTTCATCTCCCCTAATCATGTTCGTAGGTTCTCATTCGCAATGCTCGTGCAAGAAAAATGGTGGGACCTACAAGAAATTCGTTTGTTGGTAGTTCAAGGTATAGGATTCACGGTCATTCTTTTCTATCTGCGGTTTTAGGGGTCAGGGTTTAGGGTTTACTCGTAGGGCTTAACTTCGATATGGGACTTTCCGAAAATTGGGGAGGTACCTTATTTTGGGGGCCTTATAATAAGGATCCTACTATTTAGGGTACCATGTTAGGGTCCTGTACGGTCGGAGCAGACGGGACCTACCTTGGGCCCT